TAAGGGATCTCCATCAAAGATTGAAATTATTCGAGGAGGTAATGGAGTCACATCCCCCCTATGCACAAGCTGAGCTGTTATGTTTGCCTGTTGCTGCATGATGTTATACAGAATACTTTGTCCTGTATCAGTTTGTAGATGGGCATGAGATTGTGAAGAATGATCTTGTAATTGAGAATAAGAGACTGGATTACTTTGAACACCAGCTGTGCCATCCTGTATGCCTGCAGCTTGTTGTGTGGTTGTACAGTGCATTGCAACTTGAGTAGAATTACCAGGTAGATGTACTTGAAAATTAGATTTCAATGAGTGAGATTTTTTACTCTTTGAGTCATCAGATGGTGCTTTTTTATTGCTTCCAACTTCACTGGTTTTTAAAACAGACAACTTTGCATCGGTGGCTGCTATTTTTGCATTCAGCATGAGTTGTTCCTTTTGTCTTTTGAGTTTTTCACTTTGAATGTGAAGTCTTTCTTCTTCCTCCTCTAAAAGATGTCTCTTCTCCATAGCAGCAGCATGTTGTAGTAATGCAGCCTTTTCTGCCATTACTTTTATTCGTGCAGAAGAAGTCATACTTGAAGTACTTGCTGAACCTTTTGATACTTTACTACGTTGGGATTGGTTTGTAGACACATTTGAAATACTGTCATCAGGTCCTATGTCACTGCTTACAGCAGATGAAGCATCGCAGGCTTTATCCACACTCCATGACTTTCCAGCATCAGTCAACCATTCAGTAATTTCCTTCTTAAAACACAGATTTTCTGCCATTTTTGCATTGAACCATTTTGTTTGCTTATCAAACTCATCCTGGGGTATTGGCATTTCCACAATTGCATTATGCAAATCTTCAGCCTTTTCACAATACTTGACAAACTTCTTCATTTGCTTTTCCACATTGAGTACTGTTTCACTTGTGGTTTTAAGAGAAATTATATCATTCACATTTTGTTTGATTTTGTTTACTTGAGTCAAGTTCTGTTTTCTAGACTTTTGCAAATTTTCAAAGAGCAAAGTCACCCCCTTTGCAGTCAATTTTCTCACTCTCTTAGACGACACATCTTCATTAGCAACACCATCATCATTTGCAACGTTTTCCGAAACAACCTTTTCACCATCAACATCAGCAGCCATTTCACAACCGGATTCTTCCTTTTCATCCATGAACAACACAACCAGCACAAACTATCAGCACAGCATGTCTCCGTTTGATCCAAAACTTCACATTCCATTACATGAAGCCTTTAAACATACATAAACAGCACCCACCGTTCTTCCTTATTGTGTGTCCGTGTCAGCGTTGCAAACTCAACCACAGCAAACTGGTTCCTTTAATCTTCGTTCCATTCAAGCCGCTCATCAATCCAACGGGAACTGAGTTTTTACTATTGTTTCAGCAGCTTAATGTCGAAGGCTTGGCATCTCAACGCACGTTTTTACGCACACAACCAATGTCCAGTCTTGCTTCCTCTTCAAGTTTAAATTCACTTTATTTAACTTATTATAAATACATACTTGCAATTAATAATGTTGAACCCTTTAGCGACCTCAAAGGTGTGTGAGTTTGGTGTGGTAAAAACTGCATGCGTTCCCTTCCTCAACTCTTCTTCTCTCATGCAAGAAACACCGACTTTAAAACCCTATGTGCACATATTGCCCCCAAGTGGTGACAGCCCAAATTACATTTAAGTCAACATATAGGCTCCTACACTTACAATCCTAAAGTCTTAAAACATTGTAAAATCTTACAATTCTAGTCTTAAAACATTGTAAAATCTTACAATACTAAAGTCTTAAAACATTGTAAAATCTTACAATTCTAGTCTTAAAACATTGTAAAATCTTACAATCCTAAAGTCTTAAAACATTGTAAAATCTTACAATTCTAGTCTTAAAACATTGTAAAATCTTACAATCCTAACATCTTAAAACATTGTAAAATCTTATAATTCTAGTCTTAAAACATTGTAAAATCTTACAATCCTAAAGTCTTAAAACAATGTAAAATCTTACAATTGTAAAACCTTAAAACATTGTAAAATCTTACAATCCTAAAGTCTTAAAACATTGTAAAATCTTACAATTCTAGTCTTAAAACATTGTAAAATCTTACAATCCTAAAGTCTTAAAACATTTTAAAATCTTACAATTGTAAAACCTTAAAACATTGTAAAATCTTACAATCCTTAAGTCTTAAAAAATTGTAAAATCTTACAATCCCAAAGTCTTAAAACATTGTAAAATCTTACAATTGTAAAACCTTAAAACATTGTAAAATCTTACAATCCTAAAGTCTTAAAACATTGTAAAATCTTACAATTCTAGTCTTAAAACATTGTAAAATCTTACAATTCTAGTCTTAAAACATTGTAAAATCTTACAATCCTAAAGTCTTAAAACATTTTAAAATATTACAATTGTAAAACCTTAAAACATTGTAAAATCCTACAATCCTAAAGTCTTAAAACATTGTAAAATCTTACAATCCTAAAGTCTTAAAACATTGTAAAATCTTACAATTCTACTCTTAAAACATTGTAAAATCTTACAATTCTAGTCTTAAAACATTGTAAAATCTTACAATCCTAAAGTCTTAAAACATTGTAAAATCTTACAATTGTAAAACCTTAAAACATTGTAAAATCTTACAATCCTAAAGTCTTAAAACATTGTAAAATCTTACAATCCTAAAGTCTTAAAACATTGTAAAATCTTACAATTCTAGTCTTAAAACATTGTAAAATCTTACAATCCTAAAGTCTTAAAACATTGTAAAATCTTACAATTCTAGTCTTAAAACATTGTAAAATCTTACATTCCTAAAGTCTTAAAACATTGTAAAATCTTACAATTCTAGTCTTAAAACATTGTAAAATCTTACAATTCTAGTCTTAAAACATTGTAAAATCTTACAATTCTAGTCTTAAAACATTGTAAAATCTTACAATCCTAAAGTCTTAAAACATTTTAAAATCTTACAATTGTAAAACCTTAAAACATTGTAAAATCTTACAATCCTTAAGTCTTAAAAAATTGTAAAATCTTACAATCCCAAAGTCTTAAAACATTGTAAAATCTTACAATTGTAAAACCTTAAAACATTGTAAAATCTTACAATCCTAAAGTCTTAAAACATTGTAAAATCTTACAATTCTAGTCTTAAAACATTGTAAAATCTTACAATTCTAGTCTTAAAACATTGTAAAATCTTACAATCCTAAAGTCTTAAAACATTTTAAAATATTACAATTGTAAAACCTTAAAACATTGTAAAATCCTACAATCCTAAAGTCTTAAAACATTGTAAAATCTTACAATCCTAAAGTCTTAAAACATTGTAAAATCTTACAATTCTACTCTTAAAACATTGTAAAATCTTACAATTCTAGTCTTAAAACATTGTAAAATCTTACAATCCTAAAGTCTTAAAACATTGTAAAATCTTACAATTGTAAAACCTTAAAACATTGTAAAATATTACAATCCTAAAGTCTTAAAACTTTGTAAAATCTTACAATTGTAAAACCTTAAAACATTGTAAAATCTTACAATCCTAAAGTCTTAAAACATTGTAAAATCTTACAATTCTAGTCTTAAAACATTGTAAAATCTTACAATCCTAAAGTTTTAAAACATTTTAAAATCTTACAATCCTAAAGTCTTAAAACATTGTAAAATCTTACAATTCTAGTCTTAAAACATTGTAAAATCTTACAATACTAAAGTCTTAAAACATTGTAAAATCTTACAATTCTAGTCTTAAAACATTGTAAAATCTTACAATCCTAAAGTTTTAAAACATTTTAAAATCTTACAATCTTAAAGTCTTAAAACATTGTAAAATCTTACAATCCTAAAGTCTTAAAACATTGTAAAATCTTACAATTCTAGTCTTAAAACATTGTAAAATCTTACAATCCTAAAGTCTTAAAACATTGTAAAATCTTACAATTCTAGTCTTAAAATATTGTAAAATCTTACAATTCTAGTCTTAAAACATTGTAAAATCTTACAATTCTAGTCTTAAAACATTGTAAAATCTTACAATCCTAAAGTCTTAAAACATTGTAAAATCCTACAATTCTAGTCTTAAAACATTGTAAAATCTTACAATCCTAAAGTCTTAAAACATTGTAAAATCTTACAATCCTAAAGTCCTAAAACATTTTAAAATCTTATAATCCTAAAGTCTTAAAATATTGTAAAATCTTACAATCCTAGTCTTAAAACACTTTAAAATCTTACAATTGTAAAACCTTAAAACATAATAAAATCTTACAATCCAAAAGTCTTAAAACATTGTAAAATCCTACAATTCTAGTCTTAAAACATTGTAAAATCTTACAATCCTAGTCTTAAAACACTTTAAAATCTTACAATTGTAAAACCTTAAAACATAATAAAATCTTACAATCCAAAAGTCTTAAAACATTGTAAAATCTTACAATTCTAGTCTAAAAACATTGTAAAATCTTTCAATCCAAAAATAGATGTAAGCTGTAATCGACAGTGTCAAACGCAGCACTGAGATCGAGCAGTACCAGCACTGTTAGTTTACCTGAATCCATATTGTGGTGATTGTCATTGATTATCCTTATAAGAGCGCTCTCTGTACTGTGATGTGCTTTGAAACCAGATTGAACACTGTCTAAACACCCCTTGCAGCTTAAGAACATGGTAACCTGGTTAAAAACAGCTTTTTTTCAATGATTTTACCAATGAAAGGGGGATTTGAGATGGGCCTGTAGTTGTTCAGTAGGGTGAAATCAAGGATGCTCTTTGCAGTTATGGGTATGTTTGGAAAAGTCCCTGAGAGAAGTGAAGCATTTACCACTGTTAGGAGATCCATTTCTAGACAGTTGAACAGCGTTTTAAAGAATGATGTGGGGAGTGTGTCATATTATCCTACAAATGGCAAGGCAATGAGCTTTAAACATTACATGATGTTATTATATGAAGGCTAAATTGAGTCTGCAGTTATAAAAACATGTTTGACGTATCGTTTTGTGTCAAATCAAATCACTTTTATTGTCACATCATCTGCAGCACATGATGAGAGAAAAGCTTAGGTCTGTGGTGTGATGAACAAAGAGCAGGAGTCAGAGAGACAGTTTATTGAAGACAATAGTTTACAGTTTGATCAACAGAAAACAGCTTCAACACACTCCATAGGGGTCATAGTCTCAATTTCACAGAAATCATAGAAAGAGCAGCACACATGTGGTCAGTGACGAAATAACATCATCAGGAGTTCATACTTCCATTGTTTTCTGACATGATGCTGTTTTCCGCTTCTGCTTCCCACATCGTGCACTTCCTCCAGCGAGTGTCGCAGTCAGAGCTGCATGCAAATGAGGGCCAGCTGAAGCATCCCCATTGGTCCATTAGCTCTAGATTAACAGCTCCTCCTCCAGCCAATCAGGCGAGGAGGGAAGCTGACGTCACTCTAATGGCGACCAATCCCCACAGGCGAGGACAGAGAAGTGTATAATAATTAACAATCGCTCTTAAATAACAATCTGTGCAGTGCTCACACAACAGAGATGGAGAAGAGGACAGACAGGAGAAACTAAAGAAACCAGACATAAAGCAAAACAATGAATAACTAACCCTAAAAACAAAAGCCTAACCCAAACCTAATCCTAACCAAACCCTAACCTGACCCAACCGTACCCTAACAAACACCCCAGCCCTAACCCTTCCTTCAAAATAAAGGCCTAACCCAACCCTTACCCTAACCCTAACAAACACCCTTACCCTTCAAAATAAAGGCCTAACCCAACCCTAACCCTAACAAACACCCTTACCCTTCAAAATAAAGGCCTAACCCAAACAAACACTCTAATCCCAAAACAAAATGTTTAGAGGAACTGGGAAAGCAGAAAAAGCAGAAAAAGAAAGAAAGAGCTGAGATTTGGCCTCATTAATGAAAGATAATTATTCCTCTATTTTCTATATGTCTAACCCTAAACCCTAACCCTGACTGATGATAATTCATTAACGAACCCGATTATCTATCCACCCTTTATCTATCACTAACTTACTCCGATATTTACAAATGTTTCATCAATGAGGACCAATGAATTTCTACAAACGAGCACAGGATTTCCACAACATTATCAATGAGCTTAATAATATCAATAAATCTATTACAAAGTCCAACTCTAAACTACACTTGTGTCCATAAACACTATCTAAATCCCCCAGTCTTGACTAAAATGCTGTTATTTACCAAACCCTGCGGTTAAAATTAAACTATTTGAGCTGCTGGTTTATGTTAAAGCTAATCTGCAGAAATCCAGCGCTCGCTTGGAGAACAAGTGAAAGAAGAAGAAAGCAGAAAGATGAGAGCAGCAGCACTAGAAATAATCCTCATCAGATCTGACAAATCCACAGCTGGGCTAAAATCTGTCTGTGGCAGGAGGCTCTTATATCTAGCGTATCGGCCCATATAATCCTGCCCCGTCAGCGCCATCTACACCACCCTATCCTATCTGTTAAAGAGAAAACGCCTTCAAAACCGGCCCACGACGCCCCTGTTATATGCGCTTATCTCACTTAAACCTGCCTAAAGTCCCGTTAGAGCTACGAGCACTGTCTAAACCAGGCTTCCTGTCTTTATAAAGTATTGACGCACTACAGTAATAATACACAGACTTTACCGTTTAATATTAATCCGACAGCTAGAGAAATAAACCACACCAGTATGCTAATAAATCCCCCTTTCCAGCAGTTTCATTTATTAATCTGTGACTATTTCCCTTAATATGACTATTTACTCTACAGTCGGTGCTAACCCAGTTCATATAAAACACTACGTCCTGTCTAAACGTGAATGAACCTGCTTTCCTTTACTTATTTCAAACGATTAATGCTGTCCTGCCGCAGACACATTCTACCCCAGCTGAGGATTAGCGGCTAACACTCAATCTCCGGCGTCGCCTGTGCGCATCGGTCGCCATTAGACTGACATCAGCTTCCTTCCTCGCCTGATTGGCTAAAGGAGGAGCTGTCGGTCTAGAGCTGGTGGACCAATAGGGACGCTTCAACCGGCCCTCATTTACATGCAGCTCTGACTGCAACACTCGCAGGAGGAAGTGCAGAATTTGGGAAGCAGAAGCGGAAAACAGCAAAACAATCTGACGTAAATGGAAGTATGAAACCTGTTTCCTGCTGCTGATGGGCTCTACGTCATGCTGAACCACTTGTGCTCTATAATCTCCTCTAAAACAGGTCCTGTTCGAGGGTGGTAACTGATTATCCACCGAAGAAGATCCTTGCATTCTGCAGAAATAGTAAAGAGAGAACATGTTAGTCATGGATGCTCTTGATGATGATACAACACAGAGATTTATTCAATGGTCTGGTGAAATTCTTGATTCTGATTGGCTGGACGTCGTCCAATAAAATCATTAAATACACAGTTAGTTTCAGTCAGTTATTAGCACAGTTCCAGATGAATGCGCCACACTCAAACATTAGCAGTAACCAACTCGGTGACTATCGCTGAAGCTTTCATTGGACGTGTGCTTCATCTGGAGCCAATGGGGATCAACCAACTCGCAAATACGAGATGATGAAGCTAACACATGTTACTGTGAGCTATAATATCAAACACACGACGAGTCATATCAGACAGAGATTTAGTCAAATATTGTGCTGCAATACTACTTTAATTTGGAAAATGACCATGTAATAAGTGGGATTATCATTGCATTACTGTGTGCTTTTGCCTCTGCATTTAAAATCCTTTAGCATGCGGCAGTCTACTGACTATACAGCACTTGTATGAAAATTGCTATTTAATTGTGCATTTATTTGTTTTTAAAATAAATAATGTTATTTATGAATTTTATGGAAAATTATAGTAAAAAAGACAATAAATTGTGCATCTAATCTGACAGCTTTTATTTACAGACATGATGTCCAGCTGTTTCCTGTCCAACTGTTATACATATTGGCCTGATAAACACATTTTAAGTAATAATTTAAAATGAATACACATGAAGATAGACTAATATGGCAGGGTTGTATACTAAACTAGCAGTATTCCACTGTATTTCATAGGCAGGCAGAGCCATTTGAGTTCTGGATGAGTGAAATCGGCTCAACACACCTGTTTACTGTGGTACAAACCACTTTCTATACTCCAGTACATTTTACTTTTCTCATTCACAATGGCCTAAAAATAAACATATAAAAATAGTACAGGCTAATTTACATGTTTCATAATCATAATATAAGTCAAAATCAGAAATAAATTTGAGTCTGATGATGTCACATGACGTGCAGGTAAAATGAGTGCATTCACTGAGCGCTTCTGTGCATGAAGGTGTGCTGTAGTTAATGCCACATGCACCGTCATGTGTTTTATATTCAGAGTTCATTTTGAAATAACATAGTGAAATGTTGGTTAAGAGTTACATGTTCGCTGGAGGAAACAGCTGTGATGATGAGAGGAGCGCTGAGGAAATAGTAGATGGGAAACCCGATTGGGGTACAAGTGATACGAGAGTTTCTACAGCAAAGAACTGCAAACATGCTGATATTATACCAGTCTACCGATAAACACACAGCTTCTGCTCTCACTCGGAACGGCTTTGCTGATTAAATGAAAAATGAGTTAAAAACGGAGGAGCTGAAGTCTGCTGCCGTTTTCATATGAAATTGAAAGGGGACTGAGGCGATAATTTAGCTGTGGACCATTCATGAGTTAATCCCAAAACCTTTAGGGGGGCTGAGTGAAAATAAGAGGCCTAGCGACACCCATGAGCTGCACCATGTGTAGTGCTGTTTTCTCACCTGCTGACAATCTGGGGTGAAATCGTGGACGTTTATATCTGGAGTAAGGGAAATATCCATTGACCATATAGGACAGCATTAGTAAAACAGCCATGACATGTGAATCAACAGCAAAACGAATGGATCTGTAGGGTTCCCCCTCCTGTAGACGGTATCTCGTTACTCCTGCAAGGTAGAGATTTTCATGTTAGTAATTACAATATCTTTGCCCTCTTGACATCGCCATACATACACAGGAGATTACAGATGAAGGGTCAGTTCACCCAAAAAAGTAATTGTTATTAATTACTCAGCCTCACGTCGTCCTAAACCCCTGAGACCCACGCTCAGCTTCTGAACACAAATGAAGATGTTTTAGAAGAAACACGAGAGCTCTCTGACCATATTTGCCTTCAGTAGTTTAACTGAAAATCATGACTTTATTGAACAGTTTGTTGTCCTCAGTGTCAGTATATTGCGCACACTCAGAAGAGCTCTGTGTAGTGGCGTACACGGCTGATGTCCTCCTCTGATTGGAAGAAAGCACAGGCGCATCCGAGATAATACATCAGCAGTGCAACTGAGAGCAACATGCGTGAAAGCCTCAGAGCTGTCCTGAATGTGCGCAATATACTGACACTGAGGATGAGAACCTGTTCAATAAAGTCGTTATTTTAGCTTTATGTGGAAATAAAAGTATTCTCAGAGTCTGATAATGCTCTGATTGAACCACTAAAGGCATACGGTCTGTTTTGAGGATGCTTTAGGGTCCTTTTATAGACCCTTGCTGTCTATAGAGCTCTCAGATTTCATCTTAAATATCTTCATTTGTGTTCAGGGGTCTCAGATGTTCAGGACGACATGAGAGATATTCATTACTAAAACTATTTTCATCTTTGTGTGAACTTAACCTTTAATAAGCAGCACTTAAAAGTCAACTCACCAAGATAGGGGGATCTCCAGTGCCCTTTTTCAGTATAATAACTGTTGCCAAAATCAATCAGCTTGAGCTGCAGGGTCTTTGGATTGACCAGGATGTTTTCTTTATGTATGGACTCATGTTCTATGCCATGCTCAAGGCAGCGCTGTGTTGCGATAATGAGCTGCATGATCAGCTGCCGCGCAACACTCTCACTCAGGAGGCCATTGTTCTTCCTGATGAATTTATCCAAGGTTATGTACGAGGATGCGTACTCCATGACCAGGTAGTTATTCCTTCCCTCCATGGCGTACTCGTACAGCTCAATGATGTGCGGGCAGAGCGGAGGTTCCTTGAGGACCATCATATGAAATGCTTCCGGGATAGTAGGTCCATTCTAGAGAAAAATCAAGTCAGGAAAAGGTTTGATGTGAGTGTCAAATATATAAATGACATTATAATGTGTCACTAGCTGTGTTTCCATATAAAGATGCAGATTACATTTATGCGCAACACTGGAATATCAAATAAAGATTCACGAATAAAGCAGCGTTTCCATCAATGAGTCAAAGAGAACAAAATCATCACTGCCTTACAAACTGGCGGCAAATATCAGTCAGAGAAATGAGTTTCGCTTAAGAAGACCAAACGAAATGAACACGATGAATGTGGTGGCTTTTGGAGACGTGAGACAGGAGCACAGACAGATGCTCAAGACTATTCTGGAGGAAATGATACTAGAAGAAGGCCTGATACTAGAGAATGATACTAGAGGGCTGAGGCCTTTTACAATCAGCAGAACAACATTTCAGATCTGCAACAATGGAAAGCTGCAAACCAACATTACTGACGCAAAAACCCTCAAACACACATTTATATCATCATGTCTTATAACACAATCACATTACTGTTTTTAAGTGGATGCTGGAATTTATTTGGTAAAAATGCTTCTAAACTAGTTTTTGCACATTATTTCCTCTGGAATCAAATTTTCTCTTAGTCAATTATGTGCATGAGAACATGTATGTGCATCTTGGCGTTTTCATAAAGCTTTGTTTATATGATAATCCTAAATGCGCATGAAACAGGTGGATGGAAACAGAGCTATTTTCACATATTACCTCAAATTCAACACTACATGTGACCCTGGACCACTAAACCAGTCTTTTGTCACGCAGATATATTTTGGGGAAAACTCAAAATGATGACTTCAGGGTATCTGCACATATTTAACAGGACATTTAATAAATTTTAAGACCTTTTTAAATCCTTTAAGAGGAAAATTGAAGACTTTACCTAAACAAAAAACACAACAGGAAAATGTTCAGTGTGACTACACAGAATGATGTGGTGAAGCATTAGCAAAACTCACCAGAGCCACGCTCAAGACAGGTCAAAGGGATGCGAAAACTTTGAGTGGTGGCAGCTTACGGTTTGAAACACCCACAGTATTTCGGCCTTAAGTGCAGCTACATTCGCAAAGCTGCTGAAGGCATTGCTTGAAGTGGACGGCCTTGTGAAAGGCTGAGAGGTCGAAGTGCTCGATGAGAACATACTTATGGGCAAACTACTTGCCTGCGACATACTTCTTGTGCTTCTCTGCTTTCATGTGTGAATAGAGCGCTTTATGGCACATTGTCCCCAGTTTTATCGTCTTTTAACATAAAGCACACTTCCCTTCATGATTTCTGGCTGTTTTTTTCAGCCACCCCTGATACTTTTCGTCCTCCAACCAATTGTCATCAAACAACCATTTGCCCACGCTTGCGATTTCGCAAAATGTCGAGGTGGCGAACCCACAACACAACGCTTTCATCAATCACTTACTCGTATGTCACCTATAGAATGATGCAGGTTGCACCCACGAAGTACTGCCCCCAAATGTTGCGCTGTTCAAATTGCGGTTGAAAAAATCTAATAAAAATGACGAGTCAGACATGAAACTTAAGATCCCACATGAAATTTAAGACCTCCTTATGGAAAATTACAAATCGAAAAAATCTGAAATTTTATTTAAGACGTTTCAAGACTTTTTAAAGACCCGCGGGGACCCTGGACTTTAATTACGTAAAGATTTGGTTTCAATATATAATTTGTGCATTTCTTATTGATCTGATGTGGGGCAGTGGGTAGAACAATCACCTCACAGTAAAAAGGTCGCGGGTTCGACCCCCGGCTGGGTCAGTTGGCGTTTCTGTGTGGAGTTTGCATGTTCTCCCTGCATTCGCGTGGGTTTCCTCTGGGTGCTCTGGTTTCTCCCACAGTCCAAAGACATGCGGTACAGGTGAATTGGGTAAGCTAAATTGTCTGTCGTGTATTAATGTGTGTGTATGAGTGTGTATGGGTGTTTCCCAGTGATGGCTACAGCTGGAAGGGCATCCACTTTGTAAAACATATGCTGGATAATTTGGTGGATCATTCCGCTGTGGCGACCCCAGATTAATAAAGAGACTGAGGAGAAGGAGTTTACATGGAAATGTGAAATGTAGTTTAAGTTATTAACTTTAAAGCTGATTTTCCCAATATTCAGATTTTCTTCATGTTCCAGATTGTCAAACAGCCGCATCTCCATCAATATTGTTCTAACAAAGCAAACATTATCAAAAAGCCTCTTTATTGATCTCTCAGATGATACGCAAATCTCAGTTTCTGGACATTATGACTGGTTTTGTGCTCCACAGTTCATCTGCAGAAACAGATAACCCCCAGTTCCAGACATTTCCAGAAACTCTGTAATATTCTCAGTACAAACAAGATTTCTGGAAATGACTAAACACGTGCAGTTTCAGCCATTTCCATAAAGCGTGTAAATAAAAACACACGACATCTCAAAATGACTAAACATGGAGGTCATCTGTTCTCTTCATATATTTTCAGTAGAGTATGCATACTTACCATAGTGTACCAGTATCCGAAATTCCTTAAGTCCTTATTCACAACTTTTATGGCAACCTGCAAAGAAAGCATAAAGTCAAAACTTATTTAAGCCAGAGAGATGTCTGATCTGACCTGCATAAAACACACACATACACACACACACACACACACACACACACACACACACACACACACACACACACACACAAAGACCACTGCAGAGTTGAAGTGACCGTTACCTTCTGGCCGTCAGATTTCCGTGTAGCCAGATAGACAGTGCCACTGTTTCCCTGTCCCAGCTTCTTTCCAAGCACATATTTGTCAAGTATAGATCCTGGAGAAAAGTGAATCACATTTATGACATTATTTCTGTGAGTGTTCTGCTCTAATCCTGAGATATTTCTGTAAAACTATAAAAAAAAAAAACCAAAACCCGACTGCAGATTAGACAGAAATCATTATGACAGAAGACAGACCTGAGCTGCTGTTTTCACCTGTGCTGCTGTTTTCAGGTGAGCTGCTGTTTCCAGCTGGGCTGCTGTTTTCAGGTGAGCTGCTGTTTCCAGCTGGGCTGCTGTTTTCAGCTGAGCTGCTGTTTTCACCTGAGCTGCTGTTTTCAGCTGAGCTGCTGTTTTCACCTGAGCTGCTGTTTTCAGCTGAGCTGCTGTTTTCACCTGTGCTGCTGTTTTCAGCTGTGCTGCTGTTTTCAGCTGTGCTGCTGTTTTCAGCTGAGCTGCTGTTTTCAGCTGAGCTGCTGTTTTCAGCTGGGCTGCTGTTTTCACCTGTGCTGCTGTTTTCAGCTGGGCTGCTGTTTTCACCTGTGCTGCTGTTTTCAGCTGTGCTGCTGTTTTCAGCTGTGCTGCTGTTTTCAGCTGTGCTGCTGTTTTCAGCTGTGCTGCTGTTTTCACCTGTGCTGCTGTTTTCAGCTGTGCTGCTGTTTTCAGCTGTGCTGCTGTTTTCACCTGTGCTGCTGTTTTCAGCTGTGCTGCTGTTTTCAGCTGTGCTGCTGTTTTCAGCTGTGCTGCTGTTTTCACCTGTGCTGCTGTTTTCAGCTGTGCTGCTGTTTTCAGCTGTGCTGCTGTTTTCACCTGAGCTGCTGTTTTCAGCTGAGCTGCTGTTTTCAGCTGAGCTGCTGTTTTCAGCTGGGCTGCTGTTTTCACCTGTGCTGCTGTTTTCAGCTGGGCTGCTGTTTTCAGGTGAGCTGCTGTTTTCAGCTGGGCTGCTGTTTTCAGCTGGGCTGCTGTTTTCAGCTGCAGTTTTCCCGCCGCTGCTGCCGCCATGTTGGATCTCTGCTGTTTTCATTTGTTTGGCAGCCACAGTGTCCTGATTTCTGCTGTCCTGATCAAGACATTCAGCCTTTCTCTTCTGTCCTCTTGGAGCTGATGTGGATTACAGTCAATAATAAATTATTAATGAGCCGTTCTTTCATTATTAGTATTACGCATTATTAGTATTATTAGACGTTTTACTCTGTCATAAAACTTTACTGAGAAACGCTTTGCACAATACTGCATAGTTCCCAGTTTAAGGCACATCATGTAAGACTTGTATATTTATTAACAGTAGTATATACTCTGCTTAATCCTGTACTTATATTCTGCAAAATATCATGAAAAATGCTCAAATGCAGAGAAATCATCAGCGATCATGAGAATAACTGTGGCATAATAAAAGCTCTGCTGCCGCTTCACTGTCGTCTCTCATCAGCAACTGCTTCAGCATTTCTCAGATTTCACTTCACTGCTTTTAGCCTTACTCTGCTTCAGACTCCATGATAATACTTTACTCATCCATCAATCATTATTGACAGCATTATTATTGCTCAAAATTTGCAGCAGTGCTAATAGTTTTCCAGCATTTTCCAGTCATAAAGAGAGAACTGACCTGAGCTGGACGCCTCTGTGTCGGCATCTTCTCTTGTGTTCTCCAGCTCTGCAGCTTTGATGCGTTTCCTCAGAGCGTATGGTTTGCCTTCATCAGAAACACTCTGAAAATCATCATCCGCTTTCCGCTTCACTCCTCTTCCTCCTAATGTGGATGACAACACAACAAACAATAGACTCTTAAATGAAAACCATCATGTCTTTTATTGCCATATCTTCATTCCAGAAAATCTGGAATCTGAGGATTCAAACATCTAAATATTGAGAAAATCACATGTAAGAGGATAAAAGATCAATAAAAAGTAAGCTAAATTAATAGACTGAATTAGCGGATCAGAGCGCACATTCATAGTTTTAAGTCACATGACTGATATAACTCAAACTATATTCACAATAATAACTCAAAACAAATGTACAGATAATGAAAATGAAAATAAAAACATCACTAAAGAGCTTGGATCAAATCATGAATAAGGATTTTCTTTAAAATATTGTGATATTATCATATATGTCAATATAGCGCCTCTACAGCCTCATAATGCACACTGACCTGAGCTGCTGTCTTCTGCTGCAGTTTTCACTCGTTTGGCAGCAACTGTGTCCAGACTTCTGCTGTCCTGATCTAGACATCCAGCCTTTCTCTTCTGTCCTCTTGGAACTTCTGTGGATTACAGTCAATAATGCATTATTAATGAGCCGTTCTTTCATTAATTGGCATTTATTGTATTTGGGGATCTGTTCAAATGGCAGCAGTGCTAATAGTTTCCAGATGTTTTGTCATGAAGCACTTTGCACAAAACTGCATAGTTCACAGTTTTAAAGGTGCATTATGAGACTTTTTCCATTAAAATCTCCAAAAACCACTAGAAGAGTGATTCATGAATTCAGTCCCATTCAGGAATTCTCTCGCGGTGCATTATGGGATAGTGTAGCGTCCACTGGATGCGCACTTCAGAATCTCTCCAGTTGTAGTAGGTCATCCGGGTACTTCTCACATGCTGTTTTACAAATACTGTGAGGTCAGACATACTACTCGGCTCACATACTGTCTTAATGTACTATTTAGTATGGAAGTGTGTGATTTTAGACACAGCCAGGGTGTGTGTTCATGCTAATGACGTCACACATCCTCTATTTCTGCTCTGTTTGTTTAGCGAGGTTTTAATATGTTTGTGTTTTATTTGACAGCACAGAGCAGCATTATAACAGAAGCACAACATGTATTTAGTCTGATAAAACAGCACACGTGATCACGAGCTGAAGAACCAGACGCGCTGGACTGTGGCATAATAAAAGCTCTGCTGCTTTGTGTCGTCGTGCACTGTGCCTTTAAGCTGACATATATATGCTCATACAACTGTAGAAGAGTGACGGGAGACTGACCTGAGCGGCTGTTCTCATCGCTGGACGTCTCTGCAGCTTTGATGCGTTTCCGCAGAGCGTATGGTTTGACTCTGTCAGAAACACTCTGCAAATCATCATCCGCTTTCCTCTTCACTCCTCTTCCTCCTGATGTGGATTACAGTCAATAATTAACTATTAATAATCAGTTCTTTCATTAATTGCTGTTTATTTTACTCTGAGATTTAACAAATGACAGCACTGCTAATAGTTTTCCAGCATTTTCCAGTCATAAAGAGTGGACTGACCTGAGCTGGACGCCTCTGTGTCGGCGTCTTCTCTTGTGTTCTCCAGCTCTGTAACTTTAATGCGTTTCCGGTGGGCAGATGGTTTGCCTCCACCAGAAACACTCTGAAAAGCATCATCTGCTTTCCGCTTCTCTCCTCTTCCTCCTAATGTGGATGACAACACAATGAACAATAAACTCTTCAATTAATCGTCATGTTTATTTATTGTCATATCTTCATTCCAGATTTCTGTTGCGATCTCAAATAAAATAAAGATTGAGAAAATCACCTTTAAAGTGGCCAAATTAAGTTCAAATCAACAATTGAGTTCTGACATGTTTACAGTAGAAAGTGCTTAACTTCATGAAACATGATCATAATATAATAATTGAATAATTTTGGGCATAATAGATAAATCAATCACTTTGATCCAGACAGTATATTTTTGCCTATTTGCCAAAATATCCCCATGCTCACTGGATTTACCAGCTAACTGAGTCAATACTTTGCATGCTGCTTCACGGTTCGTACAAATTCCATGAGTTTTCCAGGACTTTAAAGTCAATTTTCATGACCTAATGTTTGATGTAATGTCTACATATTTGTGGTAAACCATAAAAAATGTTTAAATTTATTACAGCATATCACAAAACACACAATAGTTTCAATTTATTTTAATATCTATGTAAAACAGATGATGCTTACACAGCACTAATAATGCGAGAGCGTGTTTTTGGCCCAGAAAATAAGCAAAAACAACTAAACCTTATTCCAATATACAGACATATGTCAAACTAATTTGAGATCATCTTAATAGTCTGTTAAACTAGTAATAGTAGGTAAAACTACTTCTATTGTAAAGCTGCGGTCACGCTGCACTTTTCTCTCCATAGACTTCCATTCATAGGCATGCGAATACAGTAGACCAGAAATACAAGCACGTGTTTCGCATTTCACTGCATACGAAAGCTCAAGTTCTTACCTGCGAAATCACATCAGGTGATTGAGTGAGACCAATAGAAGGTCACTTAAAATATGGAGCAATAATAATAATAATAATAATAATAATAATAAATATAATAATAATAATGACTAAATGTAAATGTAATTTCCATGACTTTTCCAAAACCTTTCCAGGCCTGGAAAATGCCATGACAAAATTCCATGACTTTTTCAGGTTTTCCATGACCGTATGAACCTTGCTGCTTCATGTTTCAGAAGTTTAAGTGGTAACACATTATGGTGATGAAGCTGTAGAAGTGTTGATCTGTGGCAGGAAACACACCTGAGCTGGTTTTCTCCTGAAAACTGGTCATCTCTGTGTCTCTTGTGTTCTCCATCTCTGAAACTTTGATGCGTTTCCTCAGAGCGTATGATTTACCTCCACCAGAAACTCTCTGAAAATCATCATCCGCTTTCCGTTTCTCTCCTCTTCCTCCTAATGTGGATTACAACACAACAAACATAAACTCTTACAATGTACAAATACAAGGTAGATGATCTGAAGTGTTGATCTGTGGCAGGACACACCTGAACTGGTTTTCTCCTCATAGCTGGTCATCTCTGTGTCTCTTGTGTTCTCCATCTCTGAAAGTTTGATGCGTTTCCTCAGAGCATACGGTTTGCCTTCACCAGAAACACTCTGAAAATCATTATCCGCTTTCCGCTTCATTCCTCTTCTTTCTCCTAATGTGGATTACAACACAACGAACAATAAACTCTTAACCTAAATCCTGATGTTTAATGTCATTAATTCAACCAGATTTCAATTGAAAATCTGAGAGTTCAAAATCCAAACATTGGGAAAATCACCTTTTAAATTGTCAAAGTTCTTAGCAATGCTTATTATAAATATCAAACATTATCAAGTGTTTTTTAAATAAATTTATTGTAGCAAGTCTGTTTATAATCTTAATGAAACATGAACATAATATTCTCATGTTTTTGTGTTTCTTTGTCATATTTCATGCCTGTAGCCGGGGGCAGGGTGGGGGTGTCCTATACATGAGCTCAACTGTCCTATTTTGAGTGTTACATCATCATAAATTGTGAAAATAACCCATTGAACCAAGCCGCATCATTCTAAATCTTTAGGAAATATTTTGGTTCATTGAAAGATGTGGTTATGATGACCATCCGACAAGCTAATCCAGCTTAAAATGTCACTAAAATGCAGTATTTACGCCTCATGAATGAGGCAAAAAACTGCAAAAAGGTCTACATTTTGGTAAAAATAAAGAACCAGCTCTTTCACCAGACTGACTCCGGGCCTGTATTTGTCATGTGTTTGGCTGTTGCCAACATAAGACCTGGGTCCTGAGTCACAGTTTTGCTTGTTTGCACAATTAAATTATCATTCAATTAAATTATTAATATGGTATAGCTGCCCGTGTATTGAAATGAACATTTTCACCATTATACATTATAAATCATTATATATTCGTTAGGAAGAGTTTGACTTTGACTCAAGTAATGTTATCTGCATTTTACTCTGGTGTTTTTGTATTAAACAGACTGCTGTTGTTTGCTAAAACACTGAATCTGCATTTATATTCAGGATTCTCTGAAAACACCTCTGTGTACCGTCAGGTTATGGAGTTATGATCGCCATATTTCGGCTAAACAAACAGCTGAATATAAACACAAACGGTTCAAAGCTGTTTTCATTTCTAAAACGACCGTCAAATAGATTTTTAGCAGTGTAATATTGCATGGTCGTAAGTAAGAGTCCAAAATAAGTATTTCTAGAGTGTAAAAATAGAGTCTTAGTATCAAACATTTAATAATATAAAACATGCAAATATGAAACACACGTGTTCTTAGTGTCTGGACTTACCCGTCAAGATCTTACAACTTTCCATTCCTGCTAGAAACTTGAAAGGTCTTGTAGACATCGTCTGAAATCGCTCAACTGTTTTGCTCGATGTGTTTATCGACCGAGAGCAACTTTTACAATCAACCTTCATTTCTTGTTCCTGCAGATTACTGAAGCCGAGTTTACGCGCGTCAGCAGACCCTGTAGAACCGTTAGAACGCGTTCTGCTGTTGCCAAGCAACACGTCGTCTTCCGCGAGTGTATGTGGTTAATGTGACCTTTACCCTATTAAGCAGCACGAATCATATTTAATACACAAGTTTATAAGATCTGTATAATATCATCCTGATCATTATTTTGCTTGAAACCCTGTTGTATAGTTTGATGCCTGTATTTTGCCCTCTTGTGGATTTTCATGACACTGCAGGCAGTGGAAGGCTTTTTTGACCTTTTCAAAATGGCCGTTCTCATTGAATTGCTCCCAAGCTTTTGGGCTGGAAACTTTTCGCTAATTTAAAGTTATTACAGTAAGAATACAATTCAGAATGTTACTAATTTGATTAAATAAAGGTTTTCTAGATTAAAACGAACCATAATTACTTAAGTCAATCTTTATGTTACAAATATTATACATAAAGAATGGGGGGGGGGGGATTATTCAGTCTATTTTTGTCATGCATCACTCTGCAGTCTTCATAAACAAGCTAATTAAATAACTTAAAATAATCTTCCATCTTAATTTAACAAGTAACTTTGTATTGTAGGATACACATTTTTAACATTCAAGTACATCAAAGCACATTTTTGCACCTGCACTGTAAAAAATGATTTGTTAGTTTGACTTTAAAAAGTTACCTGGTTGCCTTAAATTTTTGAGTTTATTGTAATTATAAATATGAGTTATAATAACTTGAGTGGTTATGTTGTTTCAACTAATTTTACTAATATTTTGTGTTGTATCCACTTCTTTAAGCAGTTTAAGTTGACTTTCAAATGTAAGTGCACTCAACTTAATGGTGTAAAATTGTTGAGTAAACTAATTTAAGACAACTTAATCCATTTGACTGCTTCAAGAAGTTGATGTAATATAATTCGAAGTTATATGAATAAAAAATGTTTCAACTCAACTAAAAATAGTTTGTTGAAACAAAAAACTGAAAAAGTTACCTGGTTGCCTTAAAATTATGAGTTAAACCAACTAAATATAGCTTGTTGTAACAACTAAGACGTTTACACGGTTGACCTAAAATTATGAGTTAAATGAATTTACCACAAGTTAATACGACAAATGCATTTAAAAAAGAGACCAAGAATGTCAGCACAAATAAACTGTAATAACATTTATTATAACTTCAAGAAAATATTTTCATTCAATCAGAAGTACAGTCATCAATTCAATAAACTCATATTAAATCTCCTTGAAGCAACAGGATACAACCTGTAAGTTCAAACACCACTGAAAAAAATCATGCCAAGTTATAAATCAATCGTTATAAAGAATTTCTCAAACAGCATTAAAATTAGGCCTCTGAAATGTTTCTTCATCTATTTAACATTGTTAAGGTTTACACCAATACAGAAACATTTATAATGAAAACTGTTTACAACTGATTTTGTTCTCTCATGCTGAAACTGATATTCAACGCTCTGCAAAAGTTCATGGAGTAAGAAATAAACTCTTAACTGATTAGTGGATTTTTGCTCACGCATGCACTTACTGATATCCATGTTGTTCATTTAACTTTAATGACTAAATCTCAATCCAGTGTGACGAGTTGCTCACACTTAATGAGAAGGAGAAAATGTGTTCGATGATAAGCAACTTTAATGTAAGTGATTGTTTTTCTTGTTCTCGCATTACACAATTCCCACCACTCTCATTGAGTTAATATAAAAACAGTCTGCTAGAACTGCAGTTTAACACAACCTGAGTTTGTTTATACATTTTAAAGAGTTTATTTTAATGCTGTTTGAGAAATGCATTTTACTGTTTCTTGAGATTTCTGACTTGTTGAATTTTTGTTAAACCACAATTGTAGCACAGAGTTGATATAGAATGTGTGTAACAGAATGTCTGCTACTGTGCAATATGAAGTGTAATGTGAGACAGAGAAAAAAAATAAAGCTTATTATCCAGAAAATGTTTCCCTTTTCATGAAGTGTAAGCGACTCATTACACTGGATTGAGATTTAGTCCTTAACGCTGAAGGAACAACATAAATATCAGTAAATCTGAGCATCCACTAAACACTTAAGAGTTTAAATCTACTCGGTGAACTTTTGCAGAGCATTCTTCACCACCAATTTTCATGATCTCTTTTTGGAGGATGAGATAAGTGATTTTCAGGGCAAGAAGAATCCCTATTAGCATAGCAAAGACATTTGACTTCCCTGAGGCCAACGTACAACCTCTTCCTCTCACACCACAGCCACATTCATTATTTCCATTGGATGAAGATTCGAGGTGTTCTCCTCTATGACTATAAATAGTCCAACATTTATCACTGCCTCTTCTGCCTCATTCAGACTAGCAGCGATTTTGTAGCTGCCTGTCGCTCTGGGTGGCGACCTGCTTCAAACGCAGATCTGTGTAGGTCTATACAGCACAAATACAAGCAGCCTCTGAGCGAGCTGAGAGAAGATCACGTGAGCTCTACTGGTGCTCCTATCCGCTTGTTAAGTGGTGAAGTGTTGGTGACGTATGTAATACTGTTTCCGGATCCAAACTGCTATTCATTTGAGTGGAGAAATCATTAGTTTATGATCAAGTTTTATTCCTTTCACACATCAAAGTTAATTTTACATAAAGTGTACACAACAATCTTTGGGCTTGCTGCATAACAAATACCAAAAATTTTACAATTTATAAAAAAATTAATCACTTTCTGGCCATTGGATATTAGGCATGGACATATATATTGTGATTGTGATTTTCGAAAGCATTAAATCGCTTTGTAAACGTTTATTATTACCATTTCATGATTCAATTCAATTCAATTCAATTTAATTCAGCTTTATTTGTATAGCGCTTTTACAATGTAGATTGTGTCAAAGCAGCTTCACATAAATGGTCATAGTAACTGGAACAGTGTGGTTCAGTAACTGGAACAGTGTGGTTCAGGTTTTAGTGTTTAAGTTCAGTTCAGTTCAGTTCAGCTCAGTTCAGTGTGATTTAATCATTACTGAGAGTTCAAACACTGAAGAGCAAATTCATCGATGCGCAGCTCTACCAATCCTGAACCATGCGAGGCAGTGACGACAGCGGAGAGGGAAAAAAACTTCACCTGATGGGAGTGAAGAAAAAAAACCTTGAGAGAACCAGACTCAGTTGGGCACGACCATTTTAATTTCTCCGCTGACCAAAAGTCTTGTGCAGAACTTCATTCGCCGTGGTTTAGGCTGGAAGATGGCCTCAGCGAAGACTCGTCTGTCCCTGGAGCGTCGCTGGAATCAGACTCATGTTCTCCACTCCCCACGACCATCAACGCAGCAGCAGCTCAGGATACGGCCTGGTCCCGGATATGGAATCCTTGGGATCATCACGTCGCTGGTCTTGGATCCAATCAGTGACTCTGCATAATCTGAGGACCTCAGGATGAGTATCCCCAGGTGAAAATAGAGAATAAAGAGAATAATTAGCGTAGCTGCTGTTCATCGTGTATATAAGCAAGATGCAGAAGCCAGTGTGGAACCCGCTAGGTGATGCATTGAGTGTATGCTTTACTAAACAGATCGGTCTTTAATCTAGTTTTGAACTGGGAGAGCGTGTCTGAGCCTCGGACATTATCAGGAAGGCTATTCCAGAGTGTAGGAGCCATGAAAGAGAAGGCTCGACCTCCTTTACTTGATTTTGCTATTCTAGGTACTACCAGAAGCCCTGAGTTTTGAGATCTTAAAGAGCGAGTTGGTTTGTAGCGAGACAGAAGGTTGGTTAGATAAACAGGAGCTAGATTATTTAGAGCTTTATAGGTGAGAAGTAATATTTTAAATTCAATACGAAACTTAACAGGCAGCCAGTGTAAGGAGGATAAA